CCAAGGTTCTGTTCTTGGGCCCCTCCTTTTCTCTCTCTATACCTCCTCCCTGGGCCAACTGATAACCTCCCATGGCTTCCATTACCACCTCTATGCTGATGACACCCAGATCTATCTCTCCACTCCCCAGCTCACCCCCTCAAACTCCTATCGTATCATAAATCTACTAAGAAAAATGACATATCAGCATGGATGTCACTTCACTACCTCAAACTCAATCTTTCAAAAACTGAGCTTGTAATATTTCCTCCTCCCCGATCCCCCATTCACGACTTTACCATTAAAATCAACAGCGCAACCATTGGTCCTTCCCCTCATGCCAGGGTGCTAGGCGTTACCCTAGACTCTGACCTCTCCTTTGGGCCCCACATCTGCTCATCTACTCACTGGCTAAATCCTGCCGCCTCAACCTCCAGAACATTTTCAAAATTCGCCCCATCCTGACCAATGACACCACAAAACAACTCATCCACACCTTGGTTATATCCCGCCTTGATTACTGCAACTCCCTCCTCACTGGTCTACCGTTACACAGGCTATCCCCTCTTCAGTATATTATGAGTGCTGCTGCTAGACTCATACACCTTACCAACCGATCAGCGACTGCTGCCCCTCTCTGCCAATCCCTTCACTGGCTTCCACTAACCCAACATATAAAATTCAAAATACTAACCACAGCTTACAAAGCCATCCACAACACTGCCCCTAGCTACATCACCAACCTCATCCACAGATATCGGCCAAATCACCCACTCTGCTCCTCCCAAGATATTTTCCTCTCTAGCTCCCTCATCACCTCCTCCCATGCTCGCCTCCAGGACTTCTCCAGAGCCTCTCCCATCCTCTGGAACTCCCTACCACAGCATGTCCGATCAGCCCCCACCCTGTCTGCCTTTAGACAATCTTTGAAAACTCACTTCTTCAGGGAAGCCTACCCCACCTCCACCTAAGAACTGTACTTGAATCACCTCCACCAGATGATCCCCGCAGCTATCACCTTTTGTATCATCTCCCCCTTCCTTTAGATTGTAAGCTCCACGAGCAGGGCCCTCACATTCCTTCTGTACTGAAATGTATTGTAATTGTACTTTCTCCCTTATATTGTAAAGCGCTGCGCAAACTGTTGGCGCTATATAAATCCTGTATAATAATAATTAATTGTGTTGTCCCTAGTTTCCTGCCTGGAATGAAGCCAACCTGGTCCTTCACTATCAAGGACAACTAAAGGAGTAGGTGGTTTGCTAAGGCTTTGGCAAATAATTAAACATCCACATTTAGGAGAAAAATCCATCTATAGTTTTTTGACCCCTGTGGCATCCTTGTCTTTTTTATACAGGACTGTAATATGGGCCTCAAGCAATGGCTTTAGGGGACACTCTGGCAGAGAATTAAAGGCCTGGAGAAAAGGCTGAAGGAGCCTTGTTAAATATTGTGATATGTGTAGCGCTACCGTTGTGAGGGCTGCTGTGTTGTGGGTACCCCTAAACTTCTCTCTGCAAAGCTGGGCAACAGGTATTTCTCACACAGACTTGCATGCAAGCGACGAAGTCTGTATCTTGGTTTTGTTGTTTTATTAGGGGAAATCAACTTGGATAGGGAAATAGGGATTATGGGATGCCCAGTTGGCTTGAATCAATGGAGGGGGAACAACTTCCTTCCTATGTACAAAGGCAGATCCTGGACTGTTCTTTTCTTGAAAGCCATCAGTTGTTGTGGATCAGTAGCAACAGCTCTCTATGGGCAAGGAACTAGCAGCCCCTTAAAACAGCTTAACGTCTCGTAACTACATGCAGAGATGTCTTCTCTCCCACTGTAGAGCTGCTTCCAGCTCCATGGCCTACAAACACTACCAGCCTTCCTGGCTTCTCTGAAGATCTCCCAGGACAAGGATAAAGGTTTGAACCCACTTCTGTCCTTAGAAAGCTTGCTACATATGGCAGTCTTGTGGAAGGCATCCTTGTCCCAGAGAGTCCTGCTGTACTCACTCAGTGCTCTTTGCTCCCTGCTGCTCCAGGTCTCGATCCCATTGACGCCTCACTTCTGAACGTATCCTCCAGAGCTAGTCCCATCCCAGGCTGGAGGCCAGCCCCCCTAGACCTAGGGGACCCCTCCCAGGCACTGACAGTCTCCTCAACACTTCATCTTCCACCCGACTCCTCTGTCAGCCTAACTTTCCCATATTTATGGGCTAGTCCACCACTCGATCAGGGCCTTCAAACCTGGGATTGGCCAGACTCCCATAAACATGCAAATTAGGTCTCCACCCCTTTTTGCTTACCGACTTCTGGAAGGTTCTATGGTCCTCCAGAGTCAGGAGGAGGCGATAGAGCCACAACCTGTTAAGTCATTCAGCTGACCTGCAATAACCCGACTTAAATCACAGACTCAGTTACCAGGAGTCATACACAATGATTTTACCTACAATACACTACACTATTTTATCAGTGCACTAGAGGGTGCTACACGTTAATTAACAAATGACAGTAAAATACATTAAAATAACATAGAGCAAAAAATTATAGTGTATTGTCTCTTGACATATATCAGGGGTGCTATTTTCACACTAAAAATACCTCAAGTAAAATCAAAATTCACCTAAAACAAAATAACACAGACTTGGGAATTTAAGAGGTTCCCATTCCATTGTCTTGTCTAGCTTCTTTCCAAAGTGCCTTCAAGAGTCCCTTTTTCACTTTCATTCTAAATTGGATTCAAAAACTCTAACTGAAGTTTAACTCTGGAAATCTGGGTCAAATCTGAGTTTGACCCAAATCTGAATTTCAACAAAATTGTGATCAGTACCTTGGGCCCGTTCTGGTTTTAGCATGTTTGGTCTACTGCACTTTTCCATTGCCAGGCACGAGCTTTTAGCTTGTATAAATTACCATCTTTACTACAGGGTGTTTGCATGACCTAGTTTCCTGTCAACTGGATGCTGATCCAAGAACATTCTGATTCAGTACACAGGCAATTTTGGTTGCCTTAGTACAGTATGTGGTGCATGTCAGTTATGACATCAGCATTGCAAACAAAATACAAGACATAATTTATTTAATCATCATGTAGTCTGCTAACAGGCGTGATCGCTGGTGGTGATTCATCCAAATGTTTTATAAACTATTTTTTGAACATCCTTCAACATGTACAGGTGAAACTCGAAAAATTAGAATATCGTGCAAAAGTTCATTTATTTCAGTAATGCAACTTAAAATGTGAAACTAATATATGAGATAGACTCATTACATGCAAAGCAAGATAGTTCAAGCTGTGATTTGTCATAATTGTGATGATTATGGCTTACAGCTCATGAAAACCCCAAATCCACAATCTCAGAAAATTAGAATATTACATGCAATCAATAAAACAAGGATTGTACATAGAAACAATATTGGACCTTTGAAAAGTATAAGCATGCATATGTACTAAATACTTGGTTTGGGCCCCTTTTGCAGCAATTACTGCCTCAATGCGGCGTGGCATGGAAGCTATCAGCCTGTGGCACTGCTGAGGTGTTATGGAAATGGTTTCCAAATGGTCAGTCCGCCCCTGCTCAAAACTATTTTCATTTAACATTCCAACCTTCTGGCTTTAAGAAAAACTTAAAAAAGAAAACTAGTCAATTGCAAGTGTTTTTGCAGATCAAGCAGAGGAAAAAATATGGAATCACTCAATGCTGAGGAAAATATTATGGAATCACCATGTACTTTGCACTTCTAAAACAAACATCTGCATCAGATTACATCTGCTAATTAGTCTGCAGTTAAAAAAGAGTGCTTGCACACATTGGTAAGCTATTGCACTAAGCTGATTGACATGAATCATGGCTCCAACATGGGAGATGTCAGTTGAAACAAAGGAGAGGATTATAAAACCCCTTCAAGAAGGTAAATCATCACGGAATGTTGCAAAACATGTTGGTTGTTCTCAGTCAGCTGTGTCTAAATTCTGGACCAAGTACAAATCAAATGGGAAGGTTGTAAAAGGGAAGTGTACTGGTTGACCAAGGAAGACATCAAAGTGTCAAAATAGAAAACTTAAATGATATGCCTTGAAAACAAAAAAGGTACAACAAAACAAGTGAAGAATAAATGGGCAAAAACTGGAGTCGTATGTGACCGAACTGTAAGACATTGCCTAAAGGAAATGGGATTTACCGTATTTTCCTCACCATAAGATGCACTTTTTTTCCCCCAAAAAAAGGGGGGAAAATGTCAGTGCGTCTGATGGAGCGGCCGGTCCGGTGTTTCCACCGCCGCCGTGTCAGAATACCGGGCCGGCCGCTCAGGTCTGCAGCAGGACCTTACCTTTTCCTCGGTCCATAGCTGCGTAGTCTTCTCGCGCCGGCTTCTTTAGTGTGGGCTCTCGGCTTGACAGCCGGGTGCCCAGTGCGCATGCGTGAGTAGCGTCTTCTATACGCGTCTTCTGGGACAGGTGACAGGTCCCAAAAGACGGCGCACCAATCACAAGGCGCAGCGCTTCTCGTACATGCGCACTGGGCACCCAGCTGTTAGCCGAGTGCCCACACTAAAGGGAGGACAACTCCGCGGAAGTGGGAGTGGGTACCTGTCAAATTCAGGTACCCGCTCCCCCTCCCTCCCCAAAGGTCAGCAGTCATCTCCTGTACTGTCATCAGTCTCTGGTCATCTCCTGTACTGTCCGCAGTCTCTGGACATCTCCTGTACTGTCTGCAGTCTCTTGGTCATCCCCTGCACTGTCCGCAGTCTCTGGTCATCACCTGCACTGTCTGCAGTCTCTGGTCATCCCCTGCACTGTCTGCAGTGTCTGGTCATCTCCTGTACTGTCCGCAGTCTCTGGTCATCCTCTATACTGTCCTCAGTCTCTTGGTCATCCCCTATACTATCTTCAGTCTCTTGGTCATCCCCTATACTGTCCGCAGTCTCTGGTCATCCCCTGTACTGTCCGCAGTCTCTAGTCATCTCCTGTACTGGGTCCACAGTCTCTGGTCATCCCCTGCACTGTCCGCAGTCTCTGGTCATCTCCTGTACTATGTCCGCAGTCTCTGGTCATCTCCTGTACTGTGTCCGCAGTCTCTGGTCATCTCCTGTACTATGTCCGCAGTCTCTGGTCATCTCCTGTACTGTGTCTGCAGTCTCTGGTCATCTCCTGTACTGTGTCCGCAGTCTCTGGTCATCTCCTGTACTGTGTCCGCAGTCTGGTCATCTCCTGTACTGTGTCCGCAGTCTCTGGTCATCTCCTGTACTGTGTCTGCAGTCTCTGGTCATCTCCTGTACTGTGTCTGCAGTCTCTGGTCATCTCCTGTACTATGTCTGCAGTCCATTGGTTCAGAATATGTTTTATCTTGTTTTCTGCCTCTAAAACCTAGGTGCATCTTATGGTCAGGTGCGTCTTATGGAGCGAAAAATACAGTATATACAGAAAAGCCAAACGAAAACCATCATTAACACCTAAATAGAAAAAAAGCAAGGTTACAGTGTGCTAAAGAAAAGCAATCATGGACTGTGGATGACTGGATGAAAGTGATATTCAGTGATGAATCACAAATCTACATTGGGCAGGGTGATGATGTTGGAACTTTGGTGCCGTTACAATGAAATCTATAAAGACAACTGCTTGAAAAAAAATGCAAAATTCAAAAGTTTATATTGAGATTTTGGACACTTTTCTTATTCCATCAATTGAAAGGATGTTTGGTGATGATGACATCATTTTTTTAGGATGATAATGCATCTTTCCATAGGGCAAAAGCCGTGAAAACTTTCCTTCAAGAAAGACATATAATGTAAATGGAATGACCTGCAAATAGTTCGGACCTCAATCCAATTGAAAATCTATGATGGAAATTAAAGAAAATGGTCCATGACAAGGCTCTAACCTGCAAAGCTGATCTGGCAACTGCAATAAGAGAAAGTTGGAGTCGAATTGATGAAGAATACTGTTTGTCGATAGTTAAATTCAAGCTGTTATAAAAGCCAGAGATGGTGCATCAAACTACTAGTGGTGTACTGTAGTGTTTTGGTTTTTTTTTTTCATGATTCCATAATATTTTCCTCACAATAGAGCGCTTCCAGATTTTTTTTTCCTCTGCTTGATCTGCAAAAAACAGTTATTATTTATTATTATTATTATTATTATTATACAGTATATATAGTGCCAAAAAGTTTGCTCAGCGCTGTACAATATAGATGCAACTGACTACATTTTTCTTTCTTTTTTTTTATTTGTTTACATGTTTCTTAAAGCCAGAAGGTTGGAATGCTAAATGAAAATAGTTTTGAGGCATATCCCTGATTTAGTTTTTTTTTTTTCTACACAAACAATTGAACATTTTCCAAGAGTGGTGATTCCATACTTTTTGCCAGGGGTTGTATCGTGGCCTCAGGTGATACACAGAAATGAAACAAATCGGCCTACATAGGTTGTACCTGTCTATCTGCAGTTTTCTCTTCCCTGCATCCATTTTAAAGTCCGGAATTGTTAAAGCTATCTGAGAGTTAAAAAAAGGGTTTGTTGAGCTGAAGTTACACTCTGCAGACCTCAGTGAGGAGAGTTCTAAGAGCTGATTGGAGGGAAAGGACACACCACGTTTCACACAGCTCACAAAACAGAACTGAGGCTGTCAATCTTATGGAGCATCCTCCCCTGTCACCATTTTTCTCTTAGTGTCAGGAAAACTTGTCAGAAGTGACTCATGCTGATAAAAGATGAATGAAGCAGCAGACAGAAATTACACTTAGTGCTCTTAATTGAGACAAGTACACACTATAGAGGTATATGCATTGTTCATACACTCATCGGCCATTTTATTAGGTACACCTTGCTAGTACCTGGTTGAATCCCCTTTTGCTTTAAGGATTGCTTTAATCCTTTGTGGCATATATTTAACAAGGTGTTGGAAACATGCTTCAGAGATTTTGGTCCATGTTGACATGAGTTACTGTTGCCTTTCTATCATCTTGAACCAGTCTGCCCATTCTCCTCTGACATCAACAAGGCATTTTCATCCACACAACTGCAGCTCACTGTATATTTTCTCTTTTTTGGACCATTCTCTGTAAACCCTAGAGATGGTTGTGCGTGAAAATCCCAGTAGATCGGCATTTTTTTAAATACTCGGACAAGCCCATCTGGCACCAACAACCATGCCACATTTAAAGTCACTTTAAATTCCCTTTCTTCCCCATTCTGATGCTTTAAAAATAATGTCATAGACTACATTATTCGTTCCATTACAGTAGTATTTTTATGATTCATTTTATTGATTTTATCTTGGGTTTGCTTTTAATTTTTCAATCTAGCTATGTAACTGTAACAAAGCATTACAAGTGCAAAACATTGTGGTGGCCTTCCTATGCACATGTCATTGCAGAACAGTTACAGTCAGATCAAATAAGAACAGTATAACTACAGATAGCTTTCCAAAAATAGCAACATATTCGGCAAATATTCTTAAAATAGCTTTGGTCAAATTTCCCCTTTCCCCTGTTTTAGGCCAGCCATACATGATCAGAGGTCTTCTGGAGACTGGTAGGCGATAGTTGGAGAGATAGTTGTCTTTTCAAGGTAGCAATGGAATCCACCATTGGACAGAAGTGGCTCACGCCATGCAAAGAAACAAGGATCAGCTCCATCAATCTAAATTTTTCTACCTGAGAGATCTCTGTGGCTCTTAATGAGCCCTTCTAGTGGGCAAGATCATTGTCACCTCAGCATATCCCTGTGCCCAATGTTTGCTCAGGTGTCTTATTAAACAATGTTTTGGTGGGATCAATAATGGTCATTTCTATTAACACTGAAGTTGCCAATTTGAACGAGGGCAAAAAATAAAAGGTACAAAACGCACATAACACAAGTTGACTTAAATATATGTGGTCAATAATATAGTTCAGTAAGCATTAAATATAAGGGGATATTTTTATTTATTTCAGGTACTTCTATAGCACCGTCAATTTACGCAGCGATTTACATATATATTGTACATTCACATCAGTCCCTAATCCTCAAGGGGTGTACAATCTAAAGTCCCTAGCTCATATTCACACATACACATATTAGGGCCAATTTAGACAGGAGCCAATTAACCTACCAGGATGTCTTTGGAGAGTGGAAGGAAACCAGAGTACCTGAAGGAAACCCACGCAGTCACAGGGAGAACATGCAAACTCCAGGCAGAGGGTGCCATGGTTGGGATTTGAACCAGCGATGCTAGTACTGCCTGGCAGAAGAGCTAACCATTTAGCCACTGTGCTGCCCAGCAAATAATAATGCCCAGATATAAGCAAAAAATTGTACATGTTAGTTACACAATAATCACTTTTAATGGGCCCTCTTTCTGGAAGACCCAGGTCTAATGGCCTTCCCCATATGAAAACAATCTTAAGCATGCATTTATTATGTTAATATAAAATGTGAAAGTCTACCATTGACTGGTAAAGTGTTGTATACTTTGTAACTGTTTAGTTTTTTAAGATGTTTCAGTGGATTAAAATGTGTCTTTATTTCGTTGTAGCTCCTGAGATCATTGACAAGATGTCCAGTGTGAGATTTGATCCCAGGGCAGAGGGCAATGATGTCAATGGGTGAGTGATCATTTAGGGTAATTTTTAGGTAGAGTGGGCTAGACATTACCATATATGGCAAACTCATATGTATTACAGCCAGAATTGCCTTTTCTCAGTTTTTTCGTATACTTGATAATACCCACTATTTAAACATAGTAGCACACAAATAAGAACACAGATTAAAAGCCTAAGATGCTTAAAAATATATCCTCTATCCAGTATAATTATACTTATATGAAAAAGAACTTTTCTTGAAATTCTAGTATTCTGACTCTTAGAAAATAAGGAAAAAACTTGAGTGATTTTTTTAAAAAAAAAAGTGTTTTTCCACAGCATTCTGTAACACAAATAACATCAAGCAAGGCCAAATACACTGGCACCTGACTTGTAAATTTTAACATATGCAGTGGTATAACCCTGGGGTTTTCAACTACTATAAGGCCCTCAAAGCTTATTGGAACTTGAAAAGCGGCATCCATTGCAGAAGGGCAGTCGAATAGTCTCTACACATCTGCCCCCAAGCCTTAAAAGTTGATTGAAACCTTTTCAAGCTGATAGTCACTGTTAAGAATTCTCAAAATTTCCATATATTTGCTTTATCTAAATTAGGCCTTTATTTTCTAATTTATTTTTGCACTGACATCAATTTGAGTCATGTAAAGACATGCAATTTGTGTATTCTTCTAGTATGAATCTATATTAATGATAATGAAATATGTGATGTATATAATGATAGGTTTGGTTGATGATTGAATCATAGGTGTATATCTTGCAGTTTTTGCACCAGGAACAAACCGTGCTATTACATGTTTGGAAATCATCTTTAAATATAAGTTGCATTTTTTTTATAGAATACAAGTTTGATATGTACTAAAGTGAATAAAAATAGACTCTCTAGAGACATTTCTACCCTATGATCTTTATTTTCACATACCTCCCTGTATGGATTGTTGAGCAAGGTCATTGTGATTAGCCTGTCATCTTTAGTATCTTAAGTATTGTTTTTCTTGAGTAGAATGACAAGAAATCTGAGAAAGCTGAAGTGATCTCAAATAAGCAAATGGGGAAGGAATACATTTGTAGAGAAGACAAGCATGTAGAGATACCAAAAGGTTTGGGTGAGGTAAAAAGGTCACCCTCAGGTTCTTTCCCTAGATCTGCCACTTAAAAAGTGTTCAATTTTATTAATATCATATTACAAGATGTTCCCCTTACAACTGGATGTATCTTAATTAAAAATAAATAAATTCTTAACATAGTGTCCACTTAGGCAGCAGAAACTCTGGGAGAGCTGGAGTACATCTGCTCTCACCTTCAACAGTTCAAAATCCCATTTGAAATTGAGGGTAATGGTTATCAATTTGTGCACCATGTTATCGCTCCATTATTTTATTTATAATTATTTAATTATAATTATTTTGTTGGAGTGGTATTTATGAGACAGTGGCTTGTTTGCATGTATGTACACGTAGGCAGGTGCAGTCTGTTTTCCCCACTGTAGGTGGTGCTGGACAGCAGTGGCAAGGCAGTGGGGAGCAGAAGGGGAGTTAACTTGGGTTTCTCTATGACTTCCTTAGTTAGATAAGGCAGTGATCCCTTTGGATGTTGTTGTCCCTGGTGGCCATATTGGGTCAGGCAGAGTCTATTTAAGACTCTGACCTCGCGTTTTGACACACTTTATGCGAGTGGCTAGTGTAGCGACAGGTCACCCATTTTGTCAGGGACAGTATTGGTGGCAGGGAAAGGTTCCAGAGGAGTAGGGAAAGTGCAGGGACTACGTCTTCCTCCTTGGAGAAGCTCCCCATTGGGTTGCACCGGCTAGGCTGCACTCCACTCCTTGTGGTAGATGCTGT